TCTTGTAGAATTCAGCAGTGAATCCATCAAGGTCAGAGCTTTTCTTTGTTGATAGTATTTTAATTACATATTCAATTTAATTGGGTTATATTGATTTAGAATTTCTCTCCCTTCTTGATTCAATTTTGGTAATTCGTATGTATTTAGGCATCTGTCCATTTCTTCTGTATTTTCCATCTCATGAGAATACAGGTTCTCAAAGTAGGTACTGATGATCTTCTGGATCTCTGCAGGATGTTGTGATTTCACCCTTTTCTTTCCTAATTGCATGGATTTGAGTCTTTTCTTTCCCTTCTTTTTTTTTTTTTTTTTTTGATAAGGTTGGCTAAGGGTTTGTCAATTTTATTTAATCTTTCAAAGAACCAACTCTTCGATTCATTGACTCTTTGCATCGTCTCCTTAGTCTCCATTGCACTAATTTCTGCTCTGATTTTTATAATTTCCTCCCTTGTATGAGCTTTGGGCTTGACTTGCTCTTCTTTTTCTATAAGCTTGAAGTTCAACATTACATTATTTATTTGAGACCACTCTGTTTTCCTGATATGGGAATTCACTGCCATAAATTTCCCTCCTAGGACTGCTTTCATTGCATCCCATAAGTTCTGGTATGTTGTATTTCATTATCATTTAAGTGTAGTAATTGTCTGATTTCTTCTTTAATTTCATCTGTGACCCATTGGTTGTTTGGGAGGGTGTTAATTTCCATGTGTTTATGGAGTTCTTGTGGTTTCTTTTCCCATTGATTTCCAATGTCACTGTACTATGGTCTGATAGTATGCATGGGATTATTTCAATTTCTTTGCATTTACTTAAGCATGTTCTGTGAACTACTATACGGTCTATTTTGCAGAAAGTCCCACATGCAGCTGAAAATAATGTGTATTCTGATGTTGTGGGGTGGACATATCTACTAAGTAGACATATCTACTACATCCATTTGTTTAAAAGTTTGGTTCATTTCTCAGATTTCATTTATTTTTTTGTCTAGTTGATCTATTTGTGAGTGGGGTATTTAGGTCCCCCATTACAACTGTGTTAGTGCCTATATGATTTTTCATATCCATTAATATTTGTTTTGTATAGTTGGGTACACTGCTATTTGGTGCATATATGATTGTTTTTGGTTCTTTTAAATTCTTTTATTGGTACATTTTAGGTATATAACACATTTACATTTCTCATTGGGAACCTGCACCCCCACATGATGCATCCTGGTTCCCATTCCCCCCACACACACTCCCAGCCCCGTCACCCCACCCACCCACCCCTGCCCATCCACAGACTTTATTTCCATTTTTTCCATTTCCCACAATTTTTCCCTTCCCTTCTTTCCTTTCCCCTGCCCCTCCCACTACCCCTACCCCTTTGGACCTTTTCTTACTACCTCACATTATCAATTACTCATTCTAATCATTGGTACATTTTAGGTATACAGTATATTGACATCCGTCATTGGAAATTTGCACCTTTACATAATCTCTTGGTTCTTATTTTTCACCCTTGCCCTGCCCTCCCTTCAACCCCTCCATCCTTCCCCATCTACAAAGTCCTTGTTACCATTTTTTCCATTTTCTCATATTAATTCCATTCCCTTCCTTCCCTTCCCCACCCCTCCCACTTCCCCCTCTCCCCCACCCCCTCTCTTCCCACTTCATATTATCCACTATACCTTCCAGGCCCCATTTACACTTTCAGTTTCTCACACTAGAGAAACTATTCGGTATTTATACATGTGTGTCCTATCTATTTCACTCAAGAGTATCGCCTCAATGTGCATCCATCTCGCTATAAATGTCTCCAATTTCTCTTTTTTATGGCTGAGTAGTACTCCATTTTATTAAAAAACCACATTTTCAGGGCCAGGGATTTAGCTCAGTGGTTTCGCTCCCTGCTGCGCAAGCACAACCCGAGTTTGATCCCCAGTACCAAAAAAATAAATAAATAAAAATAAATTAAAAACTACATTTTCTCTATCTAGTCTCCAGTCGATGGGCACCTGGGCTGCCTCCAAGCTTCAGCTATCACAAATTGTGCTGCTATGAACATGGGTGCACATACGTCACCATGGCTTCTAATTCTTTCAGGTAGATACCCAGCAGGGGAACAGCTGGGTCAAATGGGACCTCCAGTCCCAGTTCTTTGCGGTATCTCCATGCTGATTTCCAGTGGTTTGGTGCATATATGATTGTTATCTCTTCTTCTTAGATTGTTCCCTTTACCAGGATGTAGTGACCTTCTGTCTCTCTTAATCAATCCTGGCTTGAAATCCACTTTGTCTGAAAATAGAATGGCTCCCCCTGCTTTTTTCCAAGACCCTGTCACATGGAATATTGTTTTTCATCCCTTGACTTTCAGTCTATGAATTTGTTTTTGAATTAAATGTTTCTTGGATGCAGCATATTGTTGGATCTTCTTTTTTTTTCAGTACCAGGGACTGAACTCAGGACCTTGTGCTTGTGAGGCAAGCATGGTGCCACTGAGCTAAATCCCAGCCCCAGATCTTGCTTCTTGATCCATTCTCCCAACCTGTTTCTTTTGATTGGTGAATTGAGACCATTAACAGTGATGGCTATAACTGATATGTATTGTCTTATCAGTGTCATGTTATTTTCCTGCTGTTGGCTTCCTTCTTTCCATGTTTCATTTCTTGCCTTGCCTGGTGGATTCATTCTCTTAGGGTTCATGGAGTTGTAATCCTTGTCTCTTTCTAGAATATCCTCAGAACACTTTGGAGTGCTGACTTGGAGTTCATGAATTTCTTCAGGTGTTCTTTGTCACAGAAGTATCTTATTTCTCCTTCAATTTTGAAGGATAGTTTTGTAGGGTACATCAGTCTGGGTTAGAGGTTGTTTTCCTTTAGGGAAAGAAAGAAAAAGGAAAAAAAAGAAAATAAAAAAGATTATAACCCCAAAACATTCAATTCAAGGTGTGTCTCTACTGTCACTGTTAGGCAATGTGGGTAAACAGAGACCAGAGACAAATTGATTAATCCCAGCAAGCTAGCTATAGCTTCACGGTGAGTTAATGGATAATCCCGCCAGCTGGAACAGGATTCCTTGAGTCTACAACAGTCTATATGTCTCCTGCCAGCTTGAACTCTGCTCCCTGACCTCCTGCTAACTTGAACTCAGCACCCACACGGAGGCACTGGGAGCCACTAGATGGAGTCCACCTGCAGCTGTTCTGAGTTCAGAGCTCAGCTGGCCCCTCTCCAAGATGGCTATCAGCCAATCACCCTCTCCTGGATGAGGTCTGAACCTGGATAACTCACGAGCTGCTACAGTCTGGTTCATCCACTGCTTTGTTCCACTGGTGCATCTCTCCAAGCAGGCCTCTGGGGTTGTCAGTAGTCAGTGTGCATCTGCAGGTTCAGCCTGCCATTCCCTCATGGAGAGTCTGGGCTATGGGAGAGTGCGCTTTGTACCTCCCTCCTCTTCGTTAAAGTCTCTCTCTTCACTCTCCCTGTATACTTCAATTCTTGCCTGAGATCCTTCCTGGGTCCCAGGGAACTGCTTCCCTTCTCCTCGCACAGCTATATTCCAAGGTCTGGACATTAAATCTCAGAGTCTCTTTCTCTGCTAATCACCACTCTGCCATCTTCCCAGAAGTCTGCCATTATGCTCATTTCTGATTGGAGGATTCATACACAAGCAGTTGGGAAAGATTAAGAAAGTAGTCCAGGGCCAGGGATTTAGCTCAGTGGTTCCACCGCCTGCCTTGCGAGTGCAAGGTCCCGAGTTTGATCCCAGTACCCAAGGGAAAAAAAAAAAAGAATGTAGTCCAGTTCAACTAGCCAAAGTTAATATCAAATGAGCAAGCTACTGAATAGTTTATAAGCCTAAAACTTAAGACTAGGGTTACATGTGCATTAAACATAGGGTGGACTTGTTACCCTTTGGATTTCCAAGTTTCAGTGATTCTGAAGGATTGCATTATTCCAGATGTCTCATGATTTGTATTTATTGAATTTTCGATGAGCAGCTGTGTTATTCCCGGAGGTACAAAAATGTTAACCTCCTTTCATTCAAATCTAGGTATCTATCAGATACAATAGTGGAGAACCCAGAGGAGTTTACAGTCAAGTGCAATGTTTTACTACATACCAAGAACGTGATCAAGATGTTGTGAAATTTGGGTCAGGCCTTAAAGCAAGTTTGGTTAAGCAAAGTGAAGAGCAAGGTTCCCAAGATGGGAGCAACATTCAGCCCATGGGACTGTGTCCCTGAGCTGTCTGCCCAAAAAGATTCATCCTCTTACCGCTTCTTTGGTTGAAGAGATCTGACCAACAAAATAAAGCCCACAACTTAATATCCATCAATATAAATGGTCTTTGGAGCAGGCCACCAGAATAATGAATGCCACATGTATCCCTCTGATGAGCTGGCCACCAGGTAGTCCAGACAACTTGCACCTGTTCCACCAACAAAACAGCACTATTTTTCTACTCCTGATTTATCAGCCTCATCAAAGGAGACAAGCTGGAAGGAAAAGATCAAGAGTTTTATTTCCCATTCCAGAACATGGACAATATGACGCAGGATATTTGTGTTTAACTTTGAGACTCACTTTTATCATTTATTACATGTACCTCATTATCAAATGAGATGTTTGTGAATGTGCTTAGAACATAGTAGGCAATCAACAAACAATCCCTGGTTTTCTCAAAGTGGCTCTGATAATGAAACATTAAAGAACAAGTTAAAGCGTTGAATCTTGCCAGTAGGCTAAGTCCTTGCTCATGTATACTGATGTAATTCACGTATGCAGTGTTTTGTCCAATGATAGGAGTGAATTCAGTTCCCAGCTTCCATTTAGCATAGTTCATTGTATTCAGTTCAGTAAGAAGACAAGAGATAAAACTTGTACTTTCAAGATGATAAATGCTTTATCTACTATAATGTTTAGAGGTCCGAACAATAGTATTACTGATTTTCTTTTACAAGGTTGATAATTTCTTTGAAATTAAAGTAAAACTAAAATGCCTTATACTTTTTTTTCAGCATGCTACAAATGAAAACTGATGAGAAACTGAATTTGTCTGATGGGAATACAGCAAGTTGTCCTTTGAGCCCTATTAAGATGTGCCTTAATCATCCCACTGAATGGAATTTGAATTTGACAGCAGCATCTCTAGTGAGCTGTACTGTTCATAACCAAAATCTCAAAAGTGAAGAAATATAGATTGCAGTTCTTATTTTGTATGTGAATATTCTTTCTGAATACGCATTTACCAATTGATCTTGAAATATTTCTAGTCCTGTGATGTCTTTATATTAAATCATGAGCATTAATCATTTTTATTATATTCTTTGTATTTTTTTACATGTTATACACCAGACCGTTGTGGAATTTTGCAGTAGATTTTGATGTTTCTCTTTTTAATGACACTCTGTGAATTTTTTATGCTCTAAGTTTAAATACATAATCGTCCCATTTTTCTTCTGTGCACAAAGTTTTAATATACAACACATTATGTAACTAGAAAACTAGTATTGTAAAGATTTGTGATGGTGACCCGACCCATGAACAGTTGTCTAACAGAGGGATACCAACTACCTCGAAGCAAATGGGTAAAAAGAAAAGGACAAAGGTATCTCTTGGAAGCACACATCTTTCACAGTTATATATGTATAGAAGATCAATCAAAATTTATCATCAGCATGTTTCCACTCAGACGAACTGGAGTCCATCAGTTCTCTTTCTCCATAGGCACAATTGCATGTTTACCCTTCAGCAAATCTGTGCCTCTAGGTAGTTTTACAAGAACAATGTCTGGTTGCCATAAGTTACCAATTTTGAATGAAAAATGGAAAATGGATTTACATTTGTTTTTATTGTATTTTAGCCAATTATTTTAAAGTTTAAAGAGATAATTTAGAAACAGGATGATATTCTTTATTCTAATAGTGTACAGCATATCTTCAGCATTGGCTATGTGACTTTGTCCAAAATTTGACTAGTAAAAATATTAAAGCTTTGGTGCTTAAATTTGTTTTTCTCTGCCAGAGAAAGCAAACTTTGGTGTAGTGGTCTATATACAAACATGGTTCCTTTCCTTCTGGATAGTTTGGCCATGTGCAAATGGAGTTTGTTTATTGTGTCTAAAGACTTACAGCACATTTTATATACCGTTTCAGTCCTTCTTTCTTCCTACCCCCTTCCAAAAGTTATCTTTAAAATGGCAGGGATTTGTCAAAAGATATACAGAATTTGAAGCACAGGAAAAGAAACAGCCAACAGAATGAAGAACAATCATGTTTTTCACTGATTTATATCATTACCATATCTGCCTTTTCCTTTTGCTTAAAAAGCATTCTTGCTTTGAAACTTTTATTGCTTTTATATTTCTGAGTTCTATAAAGCACAGATATGTAAATATAGCATTTGGTTCTAAAAACCAGCAATATTACTTTAGCTCCATCTTAGAACATTACCTTAATAACCTCTAGTAAATAGATCTAAAGAAGCACAATTAACTAAAACAGATCCATGTTAGGACATTTCCATTCTAAATAATAAAGAGAAAAGGTAATCAGAGGGATTCAAAAGATGATAAATGAAATTGATACTGAAGAAAAAGAGCTCCCAAGTTAGAATAGTAAGACTTCGTTTCCCACTAATATTTTTCACATAAAATATTTTGTTATGCCAAAACCAGAAAGCAGCTTCACAATTTATATGTGGATGTCTAACTCAGTAACATTCACAAACAATCAGTCCCAAATATAAATATTTTAGAAGAGATACCCATATAGGCAGTGATACCAAAAACATAAGATTGCCAAAATAACTGTTCAACTTGGATAAGCACTTTGGTTCATTATACTAATCCTCCTCATTGGTAATAAGCTCCTTTCTGACCAGTTTGTGATATATATTTTCCCTTGAAATGCCAATGTGTTCTGAAGCATTTTCTTCTATGTTGGATCTGCTTCATTTTAAGTGTAAGTTTCTCAAATGCAAGCTACTACTTAGTTACACTTAAAAAGTTTTCATAGTGCCATGATTTCATAAGCATCACCTAGGAAGCCTATTTAAAAGCATATTTCTAGGCCCACCTCTGTTCTGATAAAGCCAATCTGTGTGGCTGATGCAGATGATCTTGGACTATACTGATAGATGTGTCCTAATGTTTCATTGAGTAAAGGCCAAAGTCAGGTGACACTGCACAACAGAATCTTCAGAAAAAAATAGGCTTTTTCTGAATTTGATACAAACATAACTTTATTAAAGCAAAGAAATGAACATAAATTTAAAGGATTCCACCTCCATTATCTCTCCTAATTTATATCTTCATTGAGAAACTGTGCAAGGCTAAGTTTACTTTTTTCTAGTGCTGCTGTTTTGGCTCGTCTTGGTAATCTCATCTTCATTTCTGATTCTGGTTCTGGAATCTCATGGTCACTATACAGATGTTGAAAATACATCAGTTTAGATAAGAGCTTTAAAACTTATTTATAAATAAAACGTTTTGTTTCTGACATTCAATCAGAGTGCAATTGATAACTAGATTCCACTAAGCTTCAACTAAAATCTCAAACAATAACCAGAATACATTGGTGATTCAACAAAGTGAATCATGGAAAACCCAGCTCATTTTTCACATACTATTGAAACCTGATGTTATACAGGGAAATTAAACACTAAAATTTTGTAATGAACCTTACAAAATTTAGCCAAGACTTAATCTAAAGATACGTAGTAAAAATATACGCAATAAACAGATTGAATGCAAGACAGCTACAAACTTTTAGTTCCAACAGTAGCTTAACTGACAGAAACTCAAAATAAACACTGTTTATCACACAAACCACAAATATATTCAAAGTATAGACATAATTGTTCTATTTCCGTAAATGCAGAGAATTCAGATGTTACCTAAATCAAGAGTTTGCTAATTTGAGGAATCACACATGTAATTAGGAAAATACATGGAAATATAAATTGAGAGAACCTACTAAAGATGACTGCCTAGTAATACTAAAGGCTATGCCAACTAATAGGCAAAAGCATACAAGCCATAAAAGTCAAACGCTCTTGATACACAAATGGAATTTTAGACTATGTATCAAAGTCATAGCTATTCATAGTTTTTACTATCTTGTTATATACTGAGCTTCTCTCACAGAAGAAAATTAAATTTTTTTCTACTACTTGACACAAAGAAAAAAAAAGATAGGCTTCTTTATATATCTAGACATGGCATACCTTTCAGAGTCAGCCTCCGTAGTCTGACGTCTCCTGTTTGTCCTAGATGATGCTGTCACTTTTCTCCGTCCTTAAAGATAGTATGATTATGAAAATTTATTATCAGTTGCTTATGTTTTTCAATCTAGTTTCCAAGTTGTGTAACTCCTTTTTGCAATACAATTCTCTCAACACATCTCCTTCTTATTACCAGACACCTTGATGCCAATTATCAGTATACCACAGAGGAAAAGAATACAAGCAAGATTAAAATGCCTATTACTTTATTTTATTAAGCACTGATAATAGGCAAGGAAAAATACTATAAGCAAGTTACTAAGCAGCAAACTTTAGTTCGGTGTATTTGGGTGCAGAGCTATGGAAAACATGTTTTAAAAAGTACTTTTATTATGGCTATAGTACACTGTACATGGAGAGATTAATAAAACAATGTTAGAAAGGTAGGTTAAGCTCATGAACAGGTCATGAAGAAATAGAACTTTACTTAAATTTTTCTTTAAGACAGGATCTCACTATCGGGCTCAGCCCCAGCTCCTGCCTCAGCCACCTGAGCTGAAGGGACTACAGGCCTGCACCACTTGCCCCACCCTGAAATAGAAATTTAATCAGCAATTACTGGCTTCTTGTAAAATATTTAAATATCTTTACTGCCAATTCAAATATGTGTTCTAAAATATACTTCAATATAAAAACTAGAGCATTTTATATTCTGGGAGTTGCAAAAATTCCACTTGCTAGAAATTTATAAGGTAAAGATGACAAAATCTGGCCTGTGATGTTCCTTATTTAGAATAAATAAAATACAAAATGTAAAAGTTTGGACTATTAAAACAAAGGATGGAATTCTTAAGGTATATTATGTGACTAATAGTAATCTATGAAAACCAAATTGTTCAATTGACATTTGAAAATTATATACCCTAGAGACCCCTCACTTTTTTCCCCCTCCATAGCTTACTGATTTGCCTTTAGTAATGCATTTATCCTTAAGAAGGCATCCAATAATATGGGAATAATTTGGAGCAATATCTAGTAACTGATGTTTAGATGACTGATTTGTTTATAAAACAATATTATGGCCAGATTCCATTTTAGGGAAAAAAAAACCTTAAATCTGCTTAGAAAAGGTCTTTACTATTTTTCAAAGACTACAATCATGGTTGGCTCATGGGGTGGGATTTTTAGTGTTCTTCATAGTAGTTTGCTTGGATGTACTTTCTGATTCTTCTGTAATAAGCATGTACTACTTTTGTAACACGTAAATAATAAAACAATAAAAAAATCTTGAATTCAAATTTTTTTCCAAGCGATCCCTTAGCAGTAAACATTTACTTTATTCCAACAAATCCTATATTGTTGGATATCCCTTGGGAAATAAATTAAGATTGGAAAATATGAAATATAGTAAAAGGAAGAAAATTTTTAAATACCAGGAAAAGACGGAAAATACTTATAAAGAATAAGACAACTAATAATATAAAACTATTACTAACCAAATACTAATTTAAATCAAATGTACTTTACAATAAGATCTTTTGTATATTTCTGTCAATCAAAAGCACTTGGAGAAATAACGAATTTTATAATCTTTAGACATAAATCAAAAATTTATCAAGTAAAAAAATTAAAAATAAAATTATGTTTATCTCTAAGGAAACAAAAACAAAACTTGCAAAGTAAAGCATTTTTCATTGGAAGACAAATTGAAGTTTTAAGAAGTAGTCAATCCACATACCTCTGTTAGTCTTTTGCTGAATGGATTTTGATCCCTGGGTTGCTTTTACATCTCTAAGAGGAGTCATATATACTTCTTTATTATTTTCTATTAGAGGAAATAATATAACAATGTAAATAAAAGTCTCATGAAATATAGTAATACCTCGGTTCACGAACCCTTTGTTTCCAAACAAAAGCATTCAGCAAAATTTTGCTTCTGTTCACACACTCTGCATTGGTTGGCAGACATGACCCTGGCCATCTTCTCTACACAAATACAAATGCAGCCATCTTCCCCACAACTGTAAAACAAATTAAGTTCATAAACCAAGGTACCACTGTTATTTCAGATGATCTTTTCACCTAAATGGCAAACAGCCCTATTAACAGCGACTTATCTAAGTCACTGTCCCAAAATAAATGTGTATACAGTAGCAGGAAACAGAATGGGTAAGATGTGGCTATGTAGTCACAAATGTATGCAATACTTAAAAAGTAGAATAAACACATCAGTAATACTTTTTCCCAAGAAAATTAGTTTTAAAAAGATTTTCACTGAGGGGCCGGGGATTTAGCTCAGTAGTGGCACCACCTGCCTTGCAAGCACGAGGTCCTGAGTTCGATCCCTGGTACCAAAAAAAAAGGTTTTCACTGATTCCTGAACCCAAACACCTTAGAGGAGAAAAAAATATATCTCAGTAAAGATGAAAAAAATGTTCGGGTCAGTGTGCCATTACCATCTTCATTTTGAAAAACAGTTGCAGTTGTGCTGCCATCCTGTGCTGCTATGGACTGGTCACCAACTTCTTTATTTCCTTTTTCTAACTGAATCTTGACTTTTTCCAAAGCTCTCAGACATGTCCTATCTTTTACTTGCTATTAAAAAAGAAAAAAATTAACTTTTTAAAAGTTTAAAACAAAGTTCAGGAAAGTTTATACCAATATCAAATTGTCTAACAATATTCTTATACTTCATGAAATTTATGAAGAAAATAATACTTCAGGTAACAAAACCACAATATTCTAACATGTATAATTTAATGCAACCATATAAATTCTACTTTGATAAAAATAAACTCAGTCTAGTTAAGAGTAATAAGAAACTATTTTACCTCTAGAATCTTATTCAGTAGAACCAGAAGATCTTTTGCAAGATTGCTGCTGAGTTCTAAAGAACTCAAAGCTTTTGTATAGACTCGAATTTCTGGTGAGCATGGACTTGTTAAGATCTCATTGCAAATTTTTATAGCCAAGTTGTCGTGCACTGATAAGGTCTAGAAATTTCAAGAGAAAATCTTTGTAAACTGAAAATGCTATGATTACAATTCTACACATCTAATCCCAAATGCAAACTGTCTAAAACCAAATATAACATTTCCCCCACTCCCCAAATCAGCTCATCCGTGAATTCTTATAGTGAATGCTATGACAAAGCCCAGATCCACCCCTTAAGACTGAAGGATTTTCCAGTTGCTTCAAGTTTTAGGCTTAAAGTTCCCAACAATAGACCTGATCCAAGGCCAGGCCAATGAGAGCAGGCACTGCTCAATCACACTTCCCTAAGGACCAGCCACGCCCAGTGCACAGTACAATGGTCCAGCTTGTTCAATCTGAACAACTTAGGAACAACCCAGCTCTAAAACTTCCTTGTAGGATCAGCACAGGCCTCTACTCTACTTGCACAGCAGTTCAACTTGGCCCTGTCACCCCATCTACTTCACTCCCACAAGATGTCAACATGACAGCATCCCCAATCCAACTACACAGAAGTCTTGTGTAGTCTTGCTCCTGTGAAGTCTTAAGAGTTTGTTTGGACTTCTCCACTGCCCCTGCATCTTGATCTCTTTCCTTTAGGCTCTTGTACCCGTAACTTTTTTTGAAACTATACTAATTTCTCTTATTTCTACTTTTTACTACTACTTTCTACTATTTTGTCTATAAGCTTTTATATCCTGATCATACATATATTTAACTGCTTTATTAATGGTTTCTCCTTTTTTTCAATTCACCTCATCATTGACCACTAAATCCTCCTAATAAGTGGCTTTCATCCTATACCCACATAGTTGTTCACTGTAATAAGGTCAAATCCAAATTTTCTAGATTAGCCTTTAAAACATGATTTGTATAACTATCTACACTTACTACCTTTACTTATACATCTTTTCTTCCACCCAAATCATTCCTTAAAGCTCAACCAGGCCCAAGTGAACTTTACTCAAAATAAGTTTTTAAATTAACAATGCTCTACTCCGCACTATCACATGGGTCCAGCCCTTCTCCAAATACCTAAAGCACTTGGTAGCTATTAATGACCCTTACCATATACTGCCACATATCCTTTGTAATTTTATCTTCCCAGTAGCATATAATACTGTGAAGAGTATACAGTTACTATATACCAAACAGAAAGCAGTATTTTCAACTTTCAATCGGCATCTGAAATTATGAATAATGCATTAAATTTAAAAACTGGTAGGAAGTCTCACCAAATGAAATTAAGGGCTTTTCAGACCCAGTTTAAGTTATTCTGTGGGTCAGTCTGAAGGTGACTTTTCTTCCTCAAAAATATGCTTTATTCAAGTTCTATTCTTTGAATTGTCCCTTCTTTTAATGGAGGCATTACAGGTAAGTCAACATTTGAAAACTCAATCAGTCCTTAATAACACAGTCAGTGATTAATGGCCAGTATTAGGTGGGGAGGGGGATAGAAAAGGTGATGAATTTTTAAAACTTCTAAGCAAAAATGTAAGAACTACTTCTATTTTAATGATTTTTCCTTATTTCACCAAAGACCTTTTTCTTCTTTTGTACTTTGTGTTATATACAACTCTAAAGACAGAACTTTCAAGATCAAAAGGCAGCTCCTCACTATTTCAAACAACCTATGAGAGGGATTCTTCTGCAAAAAACCAACAGTGATCTGTATGCAGTTATTATGTTTACTGTCCATAAGCTAACACACTCATCCACCTGATAATCTTGGGAATTCTTGGCCTGAGGATTTAATCCACTTGGTCTTGTTAGATCTACAAGCAATTCAGCAACATTTGTGATATCCACTTCGGCTAAAGGAGATGATGCGGGAGCACTGGCTAATGTTTGCAGGGTTGGAAGAAAAGCTTCTTCAAAGCACTCCTGATTCGTCCTATTGAAAAACAATTTGAAAGTATGTTGGCAGAATATTATCAGAGGAGAGAAAAGCACAAGTCTAAAAAATATTAGGTATAGCATTCATCCCCCCAAAATAAATCTTCATTTAGGTAGATCAAAGCTATATAAATTCTTCCATCTCAACATTTATTGACTAAAGAAAGAGTATCCAGAAAATGACATAGATACAATTCATGGTGGGGGGCAGTGTGTGTGAATGTAACTTCAAGTCAGATTTGTAACGTCAAGTCATACGGACATGACTGCTTACCTGCCTACATAAGCAAACATGGGGAAGAACACACCAAGGCAATGCCGAAGTCGAACATCCTCTTCAGTCACAGGATTGTACCATAATAAAATAAGACGAGAAAGAATCCTGCTACTGACCAAAAGCCCAGAGAACATCAGCTTGGCTAGTCCTTCTGCAGCTCCTGTCCTGAGTTCAGACACCTAATAAAGGTGACATTCGCCAAATGAAATTTTTTAATCTGTATTTTCCTTTTAAGCTTCACAAAGTAGCCTGTTCTATAATATTTTTAAATGAACTAACCAAAACTCACTCATGAATTTGTTAAAGGCATGTGGAAAGATTTTTCTTCATAGCTAAGCTAATGATTTTAAACAAATCAATCCACTCAAGAAAAACTTTAGAAACATAAAAGCTTTTACAAATATTAGGAAACGAGAAATCAAAACAATATGTAACTAAGTGCAACACCCAGCACTAGCCACATTCTGGCTGCGTGAACCTGTGCATGTTAACTTCTGTGCTTTAAGTTTTTCATATTCAGAAAGGGAGTACCAAAAGGACATCACATGAGTTACACAAGGAAGAAATGATACACGTAAAGCTCCTAGAAGTACCATCTATACAGTAATCTCTGAAACGTATTATGAATAGAATATAAATCTGCTTGATAGTCAGATTATACAGACCTTGAAAATTAGGTTAAAAAATTCAAGCTTGGGCCGGGGGTTTAGCTCAGTGGTTCCGCCGCCTGCCCCGCAGGTGCGAGGTCCAGAGTTCAATCCCCGGCACCAAAAAAAAAAAAAAAAAAAAAAAAAATTCAAGCTTAATGAGTTGTGATATGGAGCCACTGAAGGTTTTGAAAAGCTGAGGAGACAAGATTTAAGTGAGATTTCAGGAAAATTCTCACCACAGGTTATAAGAAAGGAATGAAAGGGACCAGGGATTTAGCTCAGTGGTTTCACCGCCTGCTGTGCAAGTGCAAGGACTCGAGTTCAATCCCCAGTACAAAAAAAAAAAAAAAAAAAAGAAAGGAATGAAAGGCAAGTTTAAATTAGAGAGACAAGGGGCCAGGGATTTAGCTCAGTGGTTCTGGTGCCTGCCTCACAAGCGCAAGGTCCCGAGTTTGATCCCCAGTACCAGAAAAAAAAATTAGACAAAAATAGTGAAATAAGCAAATAGAG